CTTAATGCCTGGGCATAAATATAATAGTATGTCACTTGATACACATTATATGCCATGTGTTTTTAAAAACACATACCACTGTATGACAGTAATCCAGAAATCAAGTGTACTTAAGGAGCATCACATATTCTATCTAGTCCATATCACTGCTATTTAAGGAAAGTATTTCTTGACTTCTTTCTTCACTATCTTTGTTCCTAAATTCCTATAGCAGATGAGACCTGAAAAATAAAAATGGGAGGGTTTTATTTTGAATGACAGTCTGGCCAAATGATTTTGAAGCCTGGACACATTTAATGGTAATGCAGTTACTTCAGTTACAAGGTAGGTATAACTTCTGAGTTCCATTTCCATTTATGCCACACGTACCTATTTAATCCAGAACATTATTTTGCAGCAGTTTATTTCCACGTCTCCCCTTTTTGAAATGTGTGCTTATGCGGGAGGCAGGTAGGCTGACTCCCTTATAAGTCCCTCCTCCTCAGGGTAAAAAGCATGCTGTGGGGCCATCCCTGCAAACATCACCCCCAACCCCCAATCAAGACCACCCAAAGAATGAGAGCCTGCAGGTGACTGATAAGGGAAATGTCTGTATGCCAACCCCTGTGTGAGGATCAGCAGCTTAGACAGCCTGAGAGCTTTAGACTCCAGATCAGCAGTCTAGATTAGAGAAGTTAGATGACATAGAACTTGTTCTCTCCTACTCCTTTCTTCCCTATACATTATCTGGCCCTTTCAGATCTTCCAATACCCTGTGTTCTTGTTTACTCAGCCATTGCCTTTTACTTTACTTTTCTGGGGGTAAGGGTTCTGCTTTTCATTTTTAACTTTAATTGCCCTGCTTGCATTTTTGCACGTAGACATTTATGTTTTGAGCACAATAAAAGACCTCTGAGAAGGCTGAGCAGGTGCTGCACTGTCTTGAGCTGCCAGCAGGCATGAAAGACTGTGTATGCCTCTCCAAGCTCTCAGGCTTTTATACACTAAGTTTGTGTGAAAGTCTCCTTCTTTCTTCAGTGCTGTCTCCCCTGGGCCCCCAGGAACTCCAACACAAATGTACAAGACTGTCCAAAGTTTTAAACACCAGTTTCTCTACAATCAAAGCTCCGAGCACACTCATGACACAGAAAGCTGCTAATAAACACTTGTTGAATGTTTGAATTAATGAAGGCATGAACACCAATGTGCTGCTTTCCAGCACTAGCAAGTTTTCTACATCTCCATCCACTCCAATTTCCCAGAACAAGTTTCCAATCACAATGTTTTATTTAACTTTTTTTTTTTTTTTTGGTTGCAGTTTTTGGCCCGGGGCAGGCTTGAATCCACCACCTCCCTTCTATGGGGCGGGTTCCTTACTCCTTGAGCCACAGGCTCTGCCCTTCATTTAACTCATTATTTTAATTTGGGTGAGGTACTGGAAAAAAAGAAAAAAATAATACATGCTCTTTCGTTTATTAAGTAATGACACCAGTAAGGTTGTTTAGTATTTCCCATTTTAATACTTTAAAAATACATACACTACTAGGAAGCCCTGGAAATGAAAAGAACCACTTGCATGTTTAGGGAACTCTTTTAGATGCCGTACTCAAACCACCTCAAATCAAAGCACCCCACTTTTCCTGCAAGGCAGAGGCGAGGAGGAAAAAAGGCAGCAAGTCTCGTGGGCGGCCCCGCCAGAGGCCCCCTCAGTGAGCCCGGCCGCTCTGCGTCTGTCCCAGGTCTGCACTCCCATCTGGACACTGACGCTCTGGGCCACCCTCCCTGAGGGCACCCATTAGCGCAGGACTCCAGCCGCGGGCCGCGCTGACCCCGGAGCTCGCGGCTGACACCCGCTGAGGATACACCATGACCCAGGCAACCCGGCTCTCAGCCTTCCAGCTACTGTGCCACCGACGTAGGCAGTAGGTGACCAAAGCAGGTGGGCAGAAGCAAGGGCGGGAGTGACAGACTCGGGCGCCTCAATACGAGCCACAAACCAAGGGAACGATGAATAGATGAACCGCACAAGATTGGCAAGGGCGCACGCTGGGTCCCTACAGGCCGAGGGCACGCACCGCGCATGCTCCTGGGCCGCCCTGAGCGTCAGCTGCGGGCGCCGGGAGCGCTGCCGGGCGGTTGGTGAGTTCTCTCAGTGCCCGGTAAATCGCGCACCCTGCCTTGGCTGCTCAGACGTGACAAAGTGCCCTTTGTCGTGCTGCCTGTCACGGATCTTCTGATCCTTCCCAGTCACACACTCTCGCAGCCTGGTCGAAGCTCCGACTGCGGGAAGAAACGGTGGTGCGGGCCCGGGGTCGCCCGGACCGGAGCCGCGCGGGCCGCTGGGACTTGCAGTCCGCAGGGCCTGTGTGACCCCGTTAGAGTCCCCTTTGGGAGTTAATAGGCTTGAAAACCGCTGCTTTTTACAACCTTCGACTGCAAGGCTTGATTTGCATCAAATGCGGGTCGGCATATTATTGAGTGCCCAGAGTACCTACTGTATGCCAAACACCTTGTTAGGATTGGTGGGGTGTAGACAAGTTCATGCCCGAGGACTTGTTTGAGTTAAGCGGAAAGGCGGACTTGGAAGGTAGAATGTAGTGAACAAAAATTAGCATTGCAAACTATTAAGTGCTATTGGAAGTCAAAGGCCAGACTCAGGAAAAAAAAAATTCTGGACGACGTGGAGTTTGAATCAGGCTTTGAAACGGGGAATGCTCTTCAGTAGGGGGAAGTTGAAAAATCAGAGGATGGAGGTAACCAAGGGAGAGAGTGTAAGGTAGTTGAAAGTTTTTATTGAAGAGTAATAATCAGGGCGTAGATGGGGAAGTGGACGTAGGGGTCCTTTAACTTGACTTTAAGAAAGGGCTTTTGGGTTGACTTTCCAACTGACACTGTAGGTACAGGTACAGAGATAAATCTTCAGTATTGAATAAAAGACAATGTCGCAGTTCTTCTGGACCCTCGTGGTTGCTCTATCAATTAGTACGTTTTTATTAATCTTGTAATTAACTCATGAGAGCCATGACTATGTTGTATTGTGCATGTCTTCGATATAAACTTTCAAAATATAATAGCACAGTTTTTGTAATCTCTTTCCCCATTTATTTAATTTTTCGGTACCAGATGCCCCCCAAAAGGATGTGCAAATCTTTCTTGATCTATGAGACTTGTTTCTGAAAACAGTGGGTGACTTAGCATTCAAAGACATAAATTCACAGATCATAAATTCCTTTGTCAGCCCATATGTTTCTAGTTTTTGATTTTGGAAAATAAGGTGTTAATTTTCAAATTTGTCGGATAACAGAATGCCTGGAAGACAGGAAGGTTTTTGTGCAACATTGTAAAATACTGCTGTATCACACAGTCTGGAAGTTTTGGGTTCAATTTTACCTTTATTTTTATATCCTGATGCCAGTAAAGGGTAGCTGGTGCCATATAAATAATTTTTTATTTTGAGAAAATGCTATCTGTTGCTTTAATTTTATCGTAACTTTGAAGGAAATCTTAGTTTTTGGTATAGCATCCTGATTCAAATCAGAGAAGTCTGGAAGATCATGATTTAAGAAAGGCTGTTATAAGATAATTCGGAAAGAATTCTTCATACTATGTGACAATAGATGAACTGAGATCAAGAAAAATTGGTCTGAATTCAGATCTCCTAAGGAAGGAAAGCAAATTGATACATTTAGAAAGATTTTCAACAAAAGTGGGGGGAGGGGGGAATTAAAGAGAAAACAAATTTAGATCTAGCTAGTAACCAAAGAAATATTACTGGATACCAGAATATGCATTTTGTGACTACTCCATACACTAGAGATTCTTCTGTAGGTTGCTCTGCTAGCACTCCTGAAAGCAAATGGCATGTTACAGAAGTAATCAATATGATTAAAAATTGTTCTAAAAAGAAGTCTATGATGATTTCTAGAGGACGTTTCTGTGTTAATAATTGAGCGTTCTATCCCAAACAAAAGCAAATATCAGGAGATCTTGCATACTCTTGTGTTCTTATGTGGCAAACTGGCCTCTACTGTTGTGTCTGGAGAATTTCTTGGACTTGCATTTTAGACTTTATGTTGAATGATACTGTGCTACAAGGTTATTTGTGGAGCCAAAAACAAATGTGCAAAGAGAAATAAAACCCATAAAGTCTTTTTAGCCTCTCTGACCAAAGATATTTTTATTAAATTTAATGTTTTCTATAATCAGGAAATATGAGATGTTGAAACTGATTGCTTCTTACTTTGTTGTATTATACTCAACAAGTTGTTCTTTGTGATTTTTTCTTACTCAATTGGTGGTTATGGGATTTTTGTTGTGAAATTGCAGAAGTTGGCTTCCATCTCAAAGACTTCATATGGTCAGAATGAGATATGAGAAATACTGGCCTTTGTAATCACATGAAAATAATGCTTTTTGTTTCATCATTGACTTTAATTCAGTTAATTTCAGATATAAATCAATGTAGTACAGTAAGGTGTATTTTGCTAACCTCCTATTTGATAATAAAGTAAAATACTTTGTATTTTTATCATATCCATTTCTATGCATACTTCATTATTAGAAATGGAAATGCTTGCAAAACTACAAATTGCACTTTTTTGCAAATTTTTGTATACCAACTGTAGCTAGGAAAAGATCTCCTATACAACCATATTTCTTGAGCTTTTCAAAAATCCAAGTGATATATTTGCACTTAAATGTCAAATACACACACAACATGAGCTTTAGGAAATTTCATTTCAGAAATCATTATAGTGATAGAGCACTGCTAAATAATTTGCAGAACCTGGAGATTTCTTAACTGCTAAGCAAGAAGCAAAGATTCATCCCAATAAAATTGCCTCTGTTTGCTGTGGATCAGAAAAGACTAAATGAACTGGTAGTTTTAATTCTCAAACTTTGACTGTGGACCTTCAGACCATCTGCTAGAAAAGTAGCTAATCCTCAATTTCCTTATCTTTTAGAAGAAGGTTGAACTGCAAGAATTATAAATTAAGAATATTCTCAAAGAGAAGATTGGATATAACTGTTGGAGGCAGTTTCTAACACAGGAAGTTGAACTGTTATAAGGAGGTAAGAGTCTGCCCTGTAATTTCTTCTTACTTTTAGATGATACCTCAAAAGAACAAATGGAACTTTCTGCGATTTGAAATTTTATCCAATATTTTAATCTATAATCATTTAATTATCTTATATCTTATGTAGAATGATAAGTGAACAAGTTAGGAACATCTTCATGTCTCCAAAAATATGATTAATAATTTCTTCTACATTTCTTTTGATAATTTATTGTAATTTTACTATCCATAGGATATGCCACTGCTAATGTTTTCTCTAGATAAGCGGAAAACATTTGCAGGTCTAGGCATCAGTAAGCCAGGAATTGGAAGTTTGTTTTAGAAGTTCTAGTAGAATGGAAAGGCAATTCAGAATTCTCTTTTTGTGCCGTTCTATTCCTGCCTAATATTGGTATGTTAGTAGGAAAAATCTTAAGGGTGTTATAATCTTTCCAAAAGTCACTAATTTCTTAAGTGTCTTTCTTACTGGTTATACAAAGAATTGGATCTAAAAAATCAGCTTAGACCTGATTTTCTCCTGTTCCAAGACTATTCAATGTTTTTAACCACCTTGCAGACCTCTCACTTGAATGTTCTGTAAACACTCATAAAAAACATCTGCAAATTGAACTCATTAATCCCTACCTCAGCTACCTTCCTATTTTGACATTGTTGCCTCTCAGTTAAGGCAAAAGTCTGGGAGCCTTCCTTTACTCCTCCATCATTTTGTCCCATACACTGAATACACTAAAACCTGTGAATTAAGAATAAAATAAATCTTTCTTCACTCTCCATTTTTAAATTCAGCTCTTTAGTATCTCTCAAAAGTCTCCTAATCAATCTCTGCCTCTCATAGAATATCTCCTTATTTAATCATCTGCATTTTTTCCCTTCACTGTGAAGTGTTATACTTTTAGGAGTGAGGGGAATTCCCACATATTTTAATTGAAGTAATTGCTAAGTGTTTTGGAATTTTTTTGTATTATTGTGAAAGAAATATTTTTTAATCATATTAGCCTGTAGGGAAGACACTGACTTTTCACATGTTCTCTTATATTCTGCCTTTTAGCAACTTTCTAATTACAGTAGAACCTCTGTAAGTTGACCACCCAAGGGACTGTAACAAATTGGTCAATATACAGAGGTGGTCAACATAAGGAACTAAGGTTGTACTGATATGTACATGCTGTGTGTGTCTGGCCTATGAAAATTAGGTCTACTTAAGGATGTGGTCAGTGTGGGTAGGTGGTCACCTATGGAGGTTCTACTGTATGTCTAAACTTGTTTGATTAAGTCTCTCGGATTTTCCATGTATAAAAGCCTGTCATTAACAATGATAATTTTGTCCTCCCCTTCAAAAATTACACCTCTTACTTCTTTTATATGTTTTATTGCATTAAGCAGTATTTTAAAAAAATACTAAAGATGATCAGGTACTAAATTTTAAATGCTAAGAATGTTAGTATGTTTCTTTTATTTTTTTTTGGCCAGGGCTGGGTTTGAAATCGCCACCTCCAGCATATGGGGCCAGCACCCCACTCCTTTGAGCCACAGGCGCCGCCCAGTGTGTTTCTTTTTGGTGGATTTTTTTTTTTTTTTGAGACAGAGTCTCACTATGTTGCCCTAGGAAGAGTGTTGTGACATCACAGCTTACAGCAACCTCAAACTCTTGGGCTTAATCTATCTATCAGCCTCCCAAGTTGCTGGGACTACAGGTGCCCAACATAATGCCCAGCTATTTATTTTTTGCAGTTGTCACTGTTGTTTAGCTGGCCCGGGCCGAGTTCGAACCTGCCACCCTTGGTGTATGTGGCTGGCACCATAACCACTGTGCTACGGGTGCTGAGCCTGAGTCTGGATTTTGAAGTTCTTTTGAAAAGTCTATAACTGGAATTTTTTTTTTCCAGTTTTTGGCTGGGGCCAGGTTTGAACTTGCCACATCCAGTGGGGCCCATGCCCTACTCCTTTCAGCAACAGGCGCCACCCCCTATAACTGGAATTTTTTTATGATACCATTTTGTTTCTAGTTACATGAAAAAACTTAATTAGCAAACTTTTTATTGCAAGAGTTCATTTTATTTTAGCAACATAATGTATCATTCTTAAAATATTTCTTATTTGTTTAGAAAGTAGAAATTAAAGAACCATCATGGAAATGATATCAAGGAGAAGAAAAAGTAGTAGAAAGGTAAGGTATTAAGGGAGTTTATAAGGATTTTGATTATTCTAAATAGCCTTATTATAAATGTAGGATTATCCTGATAAATGTGACATATTTGGTTTTATATACAAATCCTAAATTAATATATTGAAAAAATAGTAAAAGAGCTTAGGGATGAATTGTATTCTTATTTGATCAGTCAGTCATGTAAAGAGAAGCATTAGAGATGCATTATTTATGTATTTACTTGTTTAATCTCTTACTTGAATGTTTATGTATTATGTGTTCTCTTGGCCAACCAGTAGTCCATTCTGTGTTTTACTTAAAAAATATATTTTTTAATCAATGAGTTAAACCTGTATGGGACCAGTATCTATGTGTCTGTTAGAGTAACTCCAGTTAAGATTCATATTTTATCCCTGCCTTCTAAATGGAAATAAGAAATTATGAAAAAGTATACAGAATCCTGAGAATAGCGGATGAGATTATTGGGAATTAAAGGGAGACTTTTATCAATCACTTGTTAGGGTTGATGTTCTATCATACGTTCAGGGATTGCTATCTGCTGGTCAAGAGTAAAATAAGGTAATTTTAATTGTCTTGAGGAAGGTATTGAAGATTGATTAAGAAGTAAGGGAACATCTTAGTCCGTGTTGACCTTATCCAGTAGCTCTTAAGTGTGGTATAAGACCATCCGAAGCCTTGGAATACACCCATATTTAGGCTACGGATGCAAGGAATAAGTGGCCAGAGAGGTAGAAGGCTAGAGAGCAAGGAATAGGAAGTTTTCAGGAAATAAGGGTACTCAACGTTGTCAGATACTACAGTGTAATCAGCCAAATAGTAGCTCATACTAGTATATGTAGTAGCATTGGATTTTCAAAGTATTTTCATATATATCTGATTTTATTTGACTCGTTTAAAAGATACATGAAGTAGACAATACATGAACACTAAGAAGTAACCATTGGGCCAGGCACAGTAGTCACACCTGTAATCCCAGCACTCTGGGAGGCAGAGGTGGTTGATTGGCTGAGCTCAGGAGTGCGAGACCAGCCTGACCAAAGCAAGACCTCATTTCCACAGATAGAAAAACAAAACAAAATAAAAGTAGCTGGGTATGGGCAGTGCCTGTAGCTCAGTGGGTAGGATGCCGACCATATAACCCAGGCTGGCAGGTTTGAACCCAGCCTGGGCCAGCTAAACAGCAATGACAACTACAACCAAAAAAAATAGCTGGGCATTGTGGCAAACACCTGTAGTCCCAGAAACTTGGGAGGCTGAGGCAAGAGAATCGCTTAAGCCCAAGAGTTGGAGGTTGCTGTGAGCTGGGATGCCACAGCACTCTAGTGAGGGCAACATAGTGAAACTCTGTCTCAAAAAATACACTAGCTGGGTGTTGTGGCAGGTACCTGTAGTCCCAGCTACTTGGGAGGCTGAGACAAGAGGATAGCTTGAGCCCTAGAGTTTGAGGTTGCTGGGAGCTGTGATGCCAGGGCACTGTACCAAGGGAGACAGAGTGAGACTGTCTCCAAAAAAAAAAAAGAAAGAAAGAAAGGACTAACCATTGGATTTTTGTCATCAAAATGTCTTTTTATATTACAGTGAGAAACTTCTTAATTTAAAAATTCACCACACATAAGTAATACATGAAAATTTTTTTATTTTTTTCAGACAGAGCCTCAAGCTATCCCCCTGGGTAGAGTGCCATGGCATCACAGCTCACAGCAACCTCCAACTCCTGGGCTCAAGCGAGTCTCCTGCGTCAGCCTCCCAAGTAGCTGGGACTACAGGTGCCCGCCACAACGCCTGGCCGTTTTTTGGTTGCAGCCGTCATTGTTGTTTGGCGGGCTGGGCTGGGGATTTGAACCTGCCACCTAAGGTGTATGTGGCTGGCGCCTTAGCCGCTTGAGCCACAGGCGCCAAGCCACATACAAATTGATAAAAGGATGAAATTTGAGAAAACAGGCAAAGGAAATGAATTGGTATTTTATGTTTTTTTAAAATGGTATTTTAAAGAGAATGATGTTCAAAGGGCTGTTGAATATGTGAGAAGATGTTCAATGACAAAACAAGATTCAAGTTATCCCTCCATTTTTTTTTCAGATGTCAGAAAATATGGATAACATTGTAGGAGAAGAAAGTGTAGATGACCATCTCCAAAAAGGTTCTCAATATGTATACCACAACTCTGATATTCTTGGTTTTTATTTTTTAAATAAGCGATTAATCCTATCTTAGAGTTTCAATGAGAACACTACTTTTCTAAGAAAGAAGTTTAAACAGAAGTTAACCTTCCTGGAAATACAAGATAGACATAAGGAAATACACAGAAAGTCAATCCAAACTATAAAGCTAAGTTCTATTCTATCTTCTTTGTCTTTCTGTCTCTGCAAACGTGGAGAATCTACTAGTACTACTTGAGAAGGTGTGAGACCACAAAGATAGATTAAGAACGTATGTCAGGAAGCTTCAAATTTCAGGGAGAAAAGTATGTAAATAATAGTTGAACCCCCAGGTAAATATTTATGGAGCATCTCTTATGTGCCATCTGCCATTGTAAGTTCTAGGAATAGAGTATAAACAAAACTGACTTGTGACTTTAAATTATACCAAGGAATATTGTAGTTAAGAATAAAGATTCTTCTGGCTCGGCGCCTGTGGCTTAAGCAGCTAAGGCGCCAGCCACATACACCTGAGCTGGCGGGTTCGAATCCAGCCCAGGCCTGCCAAACAACAATGATAGCTGCAACCAAAGAATAGCCGGGCGTTGTGGTGGGTGCCTGTAGTCCCAGCTACTTGGGAGGCTGAGGCAGGAGACTCGCTTGAGCCCAGGAGTTGGAGGTTGCTGTGAGCTGTGATGCTACGGCACTCTACCCAGGGGGATAGCTTGAGGCTCCGTCTCAAAAAAAAAAAAAAAAAAAAAGAATAAAGATTCTTAGGACCTGTAGTGATTTAGCTTTATGCTTACTCTTTATTTTTACCATCTTCTTTTTTTTTAAATTAAATCATAGCTGCATACATTAATGCAGTCATGGGGTACAGTGTGCTGGTTTTATATAAAATTTGAAATATTTTTGTCAAACTGGTTAACATAGCCTTCATGTCATTTTCTTAGTTATTGTGTTAAGACATTTACATTCTACATTTAGAAAAATTCACATGTACCCTTGTAAGATAGATGTGATCCCACCAATCACCCTCCGTCCACTCATCCTCCTGCCTCCCCTCCCCTTCTTCTCCCCTTTCCCCATATTGAACTATAATTGGGTTATAGCTTTCATATGAAAGCTATAAATTAGTTTCATAGTAGGGCTGAGTACTTTGGGTACTTTTTCTTTCATTCTTGAGATACTTTGCTAAGAATAAGATTTTCCAGCTCCATCCATGTAAACATGAAGGAGGTAAAGTCTCCATCTTTCTTTAAGGGTGTATAATATTCCATGGTGTACATATACCACAATTTATTAATCCGTTCGTGGGTCATTGGGCACTTGGGCTTCTTCCATGACCTAGCAATTATGAATTGGGCTGCAATAAACATTCTGGTACAAATATCTTTGTTGTAGTGTGATTTTTGGTCTTTTGGATATATACCTAGTAGAGGAATTGTAGGATCAAATGGCAGGTCTATTTTTAGTTCTCTAAGTGTTCTCCAGACGTCTTTCCAAAAGGAACGTATTAGTTTGTATACCCACCAACAGTGTAGAAGTGTTCCCTTTTCTCCACATCCACGCCAGCATCTCTGGTTTTGGGATTTTGTGATATGGGCGAATCTTACTGGAGTTAGATGATGTCTCAAAGTAGTTTTGATTTGCATTTCTCTGATGATTAAGGATGGTGAGCATTTTTTCACGTCTGTAGGCCATGCGCTTGTCTTCTTCAGGGAAGTTTCTCTTCCTTGCCCACCCTGAAATGGGATCACTTGTTCTTTTCTTACTAATACATTTGAGTTCTCTGTGGATTCTGGTTATTAAACCTTTGTCGGAGACATAACCTGCAAGTATCTTCTCCCATTCTGAGGGCTGTCTGCTTACTTTACTTACTGTGTTCTTGGCTATGCAGAAGCTTTTTAGTTTGATCAGGTCCCAATAGTGTATTTTTGATGTTGCTTCAATTGCCTGGGGGGGGTGGAGTCCTCTGTTTTTACCATCTTCTGTGCAACCCTTAAGTACTTGAAGGCAAGGGGAAGAAAAAACAAAATTCAAGGCAAAATGACCAATAAGTCCTCCCTTTTTCCCCATACTTAAGATAGCACAACCTTTGTCTTTTTCAGCTTATCCAGTGGATCATTCAGTGGATGATTAGAAAATAACACATGGCTTGGAATGCATACAGGAGCTGGAGTATTCTTTATACCCTTCAATACTGGTTCAGTTTCTCTAGTATCAGGCAGAAATAGGGATCAGAAGTATTACAATGATATTACAAAACAAACACAAGTAGTTAAAATGGGTACCTAGAGACTTACCTCTCTTTTCACATCCCTTTCCAATTTATCAAACGGAAGTAACTTGGCTTTGATATTTATAAATTTCACAGAGAAATGTATACATATAATATGAATGTTCTCATGGATTTTTTTTTTTTTTCCTAAAAGGAAAAAGACAGAAAGAAGGGGGCAGTGCCTTTGAGCTGGCCCCATATGCCAAATGTGGCGGGTTCAAACCAAGCCCTGGCCAAAAACTGCAACAAAAAAAAGAAAAGAAAAGAAAGAAAAAGAAAGATAGAAAAAGATAGAAAGATTCTTTTTAGTCCAGCTGGAGAAGGGGGAAGTGACATCTATTGGTCTTAGGTTCTAATCTCTCGTGGTGCAGTGACCCAGTCTCCATAATTAACACAAGGCTTAGAAACGCGTACAATTAAGATATTTATTACATATTTTTGTTGCTATATTTGTTGCTATTGATGTTGATAAGAAAGTGTCTTATATGATGTTGATTTAGATACAGAAGGAAATGAAAGTATACGAAAGACACTGAGAGGAAAAGTAAGAGAAAAGTTTAAAAATGCTAAGGTAATCTTTTTTTTAACTTCATATTTTAAAATTTACAGTTTAAATGTGACATATAGTATAATAAACTTTTCTTTATCAGAAATAGCTGAAATTCAGTCTTAATATATAGCTCCTTAACTCCAAAATGTTTCAAGTTCTTATTTTTTTCCTCTTGTAACATCCCTGTAATACAAACCGAAAGCCAAGAAAAGTTCTGTGATGATAGAGAACAGTAATTATACATGCGCGCACACACATACACACACACACATATATACATATATATATATATATCAGGAATATACGTATACACATATATACATATACTTTTTAAAATAAAACATTAAACACTGCATATGCTTTTTTAAAAGAAAATTACTGAAAAAGCAACAATTTTATCCATTTGGACAAATGACTTAATGAGTACAGTTATATCTCTGTAAAGATTTACTTATGTTGTGTTTCAGATTAATCAAGGTGGAAAACCTTCAGTTCAGTTGCTCACCAAGAAGATATGTCAGTGTTCTAAGGTAAAGAACACTTTTTTTACTTTTAAAAACAGCTTGATGGAGGTATACTTTACATACGCTTTATTTACAGTTCACCTATATTAAATGTATGACTTAATGACTTTTAGTTAACTTGCAGTATTATGTAATCAACACCACAGTCTGAGTTTCATCACTCCAAAATAGGTCCCTCATGCCTATTCACCGTCACTCTGTTCTTACTTGACATTACTTTTTATCCTAAAAAATAAAATATCTTTGAAATATTTACTTAGGTACATTAAAATCTAACGAGTTTATTTGAGCAAACAGAAATTCATGAACTGGGCAGTACCACACAGTGGGCAATTAGGGATCTACGGAATAAAGGAAGATATTTACAAGGTGCTAGCAGAAGCAAGGCAGGTAAAATATTTTGTTGGCTAAAGTGGAGCAGTATTCTTAAGATCCCTAATTAGACATTAGTTTGCCATTTCTGATTGGTAAACCTTAAGTTTCAGTTTCCTTGAATATGGCAGCTCATGGTGAATTGAATTTTGATTTGCCTACATAGGAACTCTGGGCCCTGGAGCCATCTCAGTCTAATGGGCTCCCAACTGATTATTTTAACAATATTATAGGTGATCCCCAATTTACAGATTTTCCATGTCTAATCGATACTTGAAAATTCAATGTATAATCACATTTCAAACTTGAAATGACAAAACAACTCATATTTTTGGAGAACTGTATTATTTAGAATACTAAGTAGCTGTAACAAAAAGATGGAAAGTAAACTGTCTTAAGGTAGAAGTTTTATTTCTCTCTAGTGTAACAGACAAGTAGTACAGGCTGGTAGGAAGAGTTCTGGCATTTGCAACATGTGATTCCATCTCTGGGTTCAATGGCAAAGCTCTAGTTTTTTCATTTGCTAGCTAGCTTAAGGAAAGGGAGGAGGAAAGAATCAAAGAACTGCAGGATGATCTTTTATGGGACAAGACCTGCAAATTGCACAAATCATTTCCACTTAGCAAATATGGGAGAAGTGTATAGGTATCCAGCTAAGAAAGAGTTGGTCCTATTATTAGAGATGAAAAAAAAATGGTAAAACTAGCAGTTTTTGCCACAAATAACTAGAGTGTTTAACTCCACAAATTTTGGCTGGGTGTGGTGGTTCATGCCTATAAACCCAGAGCTTTGAGAGGCTGAGGTGGGAGGATTACTTGAGGCCAGGAGTTCAAGATCAGCCTGGGCAACATAGTGAGACCCTGTCTCTACAAAAAATAAGAAAAATTGCCTAGGCATTCTTATAGTCCCAGCCAATCTGGACGCTGAGGTGAGAGGATTCCTTGAGCCCAAGAGTTTGAGGCTGCAGTGATCTATGATCATGCCACTACACTCCAGCTTGGGCAACAGAGTGAGACTTCCTCTCATAAAAAACAAACAAAACAACAACAAAAACACCACTTTGCAAATTTTAAAAAGCAAAGATTTTTTAAACTTTGTCTCTTCCATGGTGCCCCTTATAAGTGCTTAAGAAAATTTATTTTAATTAAATTTAAAAATAAAAGCAGACAAAAATGATGTTTATGTACATATTATTTATTTAATGTGTGAATAGAAACATGGCTTAAACTGGTGAACAGTAAAAACTATGAATAATACAGAGTTTGTCAAGGTTAATCCATTGATTCTCACAAAAAGAGAGGTAAAAGAGAAAAGAAAAAGAAAGAAAAGAGAAAAGAAATTGTCCTCTGAGACTCTCCATACCAACTACTAGACAGTGACATCTGCTCAGGAAATAGGGTATTTTAGCAAATGGTTTTGAGATGAGCAGAGATGATGAGAAGTAAAAGTACATACTGACAATTTCTGTGTGTAGCATGTTGTGAGATGAATAACTTCTAAAGTGAATGTGACCAAAAAAAATGAAGTTAATGTGACAGCTACATTATAGATACAAACAGGATATAAGATAAGCTTTTGTATTTTACATATTTTTAAATTCTTTGTTCTCAGTAACAAGGAGTTCTATTTTTTATTATAGAATTGATTCTTTTTCCAAACCTTCCACAAAGCAGTTCATTTGAATATATGTGTGTTAAAAAAACCCCAAAGTAAACAAACCAACAAAAAGGAATATATGTGTGTGAGAAAGAAACAATGTGATTTACATTTCAAAGATTCAGACTTTACAGGATTGAAAAATGATGAGTTCTCTATTAGTAAGTTTACAACTGAGGATATGCTACCTTTAAGATTTTCAATTACATCTAATTGCACAGAAGATTGTGGGACAAGGTGGTATGTGTATGTCAGAGAGAGAAAACACATGCTGTGGAAAGCAGGGATAGAAAAGAAAGGGTTTGGGTAATGCTTTTAATGTTCAGACTAGACTAGGGAGGTAGTTTGGGAAAATGGAGATTTGGGCTCTATTCTGGTTTTTATTGCAGTCAGCAGAAAATTTAAATAAATAAATATTTGTGAACCAAACAGATTCAAAGCTAATTATAATTTAATATTATCTGCCTTGCTGTTTTTGTGCATTAAGATGTTTAATGCTTACCATATTATAGGAAAGTATTTCTTTTTTATAAGGAGAAAAGTTATTCATTTCAGCACTCAATAATGGTTTAGCACTGCTTACCCCACAGTCTAAAGTCTCGCTGGATGAAGGTCTTTCATTTTTCATTCTGAATGGTGAAGAAAGCTCAGCGTTGGACCAGTCTTCAGAGCAGGTTAGATTTGTTCCCCTTCCTCCTACTTCCTCACTCTTAGGAAAAAATAATTCTTCATTAAAGATATAGAATTAAATACATGATTGGGAGATGACATTTTTATTATTGTACATTCCTCTTTGAATTGAGAACTGTTCATAACAATAATATAATAATACCTCAGATTTATTGAGTGCTTACTAGATGCCCAATGTTACATAATGCTAAGTTCTTAAAGTGGATTACATCACTGTGAGGCAGGTATTGTGATTATCTTTACTTTATAGGTGAGGAAACTGAGGCACAGAGGGTCAAGTGTTGATTAGAGCTGGGAAGCATAGGCTATCAGCTCAAATGCCTATATTTTATTCATTTGTTGTCCCCGTTCTTCTCTCCAGGTGCCCCACGTTGTTCTCCATAATCTCTGTTAACTCCTCACAGTTCCTCCTTTCTTCTTCCCTGTAGTCCAACCCCTTCTAATTTCTCTCAGTCCTTCCCAGTCCCCCTCAAACAGCTCAGTCCCTGGGTCACTCCGATTTTTCTTTCCTCCAGTGCTGATTAGTCTGACCGGTTTTTACCATCTTCTCCTGCCTTTTTAACTCCCTGGACTCTGCTCCTGTTCCTGTATGCTTTGCCTGATTCCTCTGTTCCTTCACATCTCCCAGTTTTCTTGAGCCGCCTGCTACCTGACACCTCCTATTCCCAGTGGTTCCCCCCAATACCTTCAGACGCCTCTCAGTCCTTTCCTTACGTCCTCCTTTCAAGTATCTCTGGGACCCCCAGGTGCTTTCCTACTTATCTCCCAGTCATTACTTTTTTGTTATTGTTGTTTTTTCCACAATAAAAACTTCATCTTTAAAAATTTTGAATAAAACATATGCACTGTAAAAACGTCATGCGGTAAGCCATGAGCAAGAAAATAAAAATAACCTGAAATCCCACTGTGCTGAGCTAATCACTATTATCATTTTTCATCTTTCTCTGTGTGTATAGCCTTACGTGCGTACACATAGAGTTTTATATAAATGGCAATTCCATTTCTCTGAGCAATTCCCTTGCTCAGCCAAAGCTTGATATCATGCACGGATCCTCTTTACTCACATGCCTGGTGCCCAATTCATCACAAATGCTGTTGGTTCTACCTTCAGAGTATTACAGAATCTGATCCACTTTTTGCTACCTTCGGGAGAAAGCTACTATATTTTGTAGAGGGTTAGATCTGAGGTACTGCTTTTCTGCTGAGAGAAAGGGGAGCCCTGGTCCCATACATCTCATCTGTGCAAACCAGAGTGAGGTCTGAGGTTACTTTCAGATGGTTCTGTTGGTCATTACCATAGTTAACAAGGCATATTCCTGTGAGATGGGGTAGGGGGGCAGGCAGTATCTTTTTATTTTTATAATATTTACTTATATTCATATAGATTTGTATCTTCTGACCTCACGTTCCCTATCACACACAGACAACAGCATAAACATGGCTGTGCTGTGAGCTACAACAGCTGAGACCAAGAAGGTGATCTGGGATGGCAGCTGGACTTAGCTTAAATGAGGAATAGTTGGGCAGATAGGGCTTACATTGGTGGTGATCACAGCTTGTCTCAAGCTAAAATTATAGGCAGATTAGAGGGTCATAAATTAGAGGCTGGGGTTCAAGATGAGAGTCTGCCATGCTCAGCCATCAGGCCAGACCTCAGTCTCGAAGGCAGGTTGAAAGCCCGGGCCCACACCAGGCGTGCTGTAAAGGGAGCTTGGCAGTGGAGTTCCAGCTGGAGCTAAGAGCTCTGTTTAGTCTATGATTGGAATCTTCAAAGATCTCCTTTAAGTAGGTAACCCTCACATCTTGCTCCTAGAGGTTGGTATCATATTTTTTTTAATTCTGAAAAAGATACTGCAAAGATTTCTGAATATAAAATATTTTCTTGATTTCATGATAAGGATGGGAGAGAGGGTATGATGATATGACTTCATAGGAACCAAAGTGATGCTTAACTACATAATTTTGTCAGAGTTGATCAAAGCCATGTAAGGATCTCTATTCAAAGGAATTATATGATTAATTCTTTTTTTATCACTTACCTTAAACATATGGTTTTGAGAACTGAGGGTTTTTATTTGCATGATATATGTGCTCTCCTGTTCATTATATGTAGATTTCAAATTAGACAAATAAATCCATCCAAAATAAATTGATGATTTTATTTTTGTGAATTGATTCTTATTAAATATGATTATGATATAATATACATTTTAATATATAATAAATCTGTTTCCATATCTACATTCACATTATTTACAATTTTATATATATCACATTTCAGAATTTCACTGCAATCACTCTATCAGACTTCTGTGTTGAGTCTTTTCTTCCTTCCTCCCTCCCTTTTTCCCTCCCTCCCTTCTTTCCTTCCTTCTTTCTTTCCTTTCTTTCTTAAATATCTTCCAGAAAACAGCATTCCTACTTCACACCATTATAGCTAGTACTGCTTTCTGACTGATGAAAAAAATGGGGTTCAATTCCACATAGTCTGATCTCTGTGGATCCTGCCGAACACTGAATTCTCAGTAGTTAAAGTGTTATAGTCCAGTATCTTACTACATTTTCTATAGGGGAAGAGGGGTTTAAATTATACTCTATTTCAGCAGTCTTTCATTGGAGAATTGCAAAAGATGTGCTATAGAAAAATTAGAAAAACCATATTGTATGATACAAGCCTTAAATGAGTTCTATTATGTTCAGTAAAATTTGCTTTCAGCTAGAATTCGATCTGGGTGGCATAGATCAGGAACACAGTTCACAATTGTGATAAGGTTCCAGAACATTTCATTTATCTGCATATGAATCATTGGGGACAACCATGTAGACTTATTTTTCTTTTTGGTATTTAACAGAGATCAGTAAATGACAATTACCCCAAATACTTTTCACTTGAAAATAATTTACAAAATGTTGCCGAAAGCCAAGATGAAGATTTTATGGAAGAAGTCATTTCTACAGATTTAATTGAAATAAAAGCTTCTGAATATGAAGAAGATCAAGAACAAATAAAAAAACAACAAACAAGTATTTTTGTACCAAGTAGTTCTCCAGGTAATGTTCTTTTACAATAAAATATTGAAGTTATTAATGAATCATGTTATAGGACAATAACTTCTTTATATACTGGAAAAATGAAAAGTACTTATCTAAAATTATGGCAGTGCCCATAGCTCAGTGGGTAGGGCACTGGCCACATACACCTAGGCTGGTGGGTTTGAACCCGGCCTGGGCCAGCTAAACAGCGGTGACAAGTGCAACAAAAAATAGCTGAGCATTGTGGTAGGTGCCTGTGGTCTCAGCTATTTGGGAGGCTGAGGCAAGAGAATAGCTTAAGCCCAAGAGTTTGAGGTTGCTGTAAGCTGTGACACCATGGCACTCTACTGAGGGTGACATAGTGAGACTCTGTCTCTAAAAAATAAAAATATAAATAAATAAATAAAATTGTACTCCGTTTTCTATATTTGCTTTTCATGTCATCTCTGAGTTAGGGGGATTAAAAGCCCATTGGTCTCGTATATCCATGTGTGCGCTAGACTTCAGTGGTAGGATATAATGGTAGCTCCTTTGTGCTTCTTATTTGGTCAGAACCAATTTGTTTAATATTTTGGACTTTAACATCTAAATTTTATTGTTACTAAGTGGACAGCCAGCATAAATTGCCAAAAGATATGATGCCACGCATTTTAGAAGATGAAGGGTTCTATGTTCAGAGAAAGCCAAAAATATATAAGAAGATCTGCAACAAAATGGAAAATCGCCTGCTTAAATTAGAAGAGGCAAGTGCACCACATAACACAGATAATATATGATTGTTTAGTGAAATATTAATTGCTGTATTTCTCAAATATTTTTGATAGGGAAAGTGTTGGTTTGAAGAAAGTGGAGAATTAATGTCATTACCTACACCTATTAAACAGTCATGGAATTTCCTACTAAACATAAGCAAGGAATCTTTAAATCCAGCGCTAAAGACCAGATACAGGAAGGTAATCAACAATAATTTATTTGTAATTATGGTTAGAATTCTTGTAATATCAATTATAACTAATATTTTTATGGTGTTAATTTACTCTTTAAAGATACTAAGTCAAGTAAATAGTCCTTGTTTTAAAGGAATATTTAATGATAGGGAGAAATACTCAAAATGTGAACTTATAAAAAGGAGAATCCAAAGTTTGTTTTTTTTGTTTTTTGTTTTTTTTTTTTTTGAGACAGAGCCTCAAGCTGGCCCCCTGGGTAGAGTGCCGTGGCATTACAGCTCACAGCAACCTTCAACTCCTGGGCTCAAGCGAGTCTCCTGCCTCAGCCTCCCAAGTAGCTGGGACCACAGGCGCCCGCCACAACGCCCGGCTATTTTTTTGGTTGCAGCCGTCATTGTTGTTTGGCGGGCCGGGCTGGATTCAAACCCGCCACCTTAGGTGTATGTGGCTGGCGCCTTAGCCATTTGAGCCACAGGTGCCGAGCCAGAATCCAAAGTTATAAATGATCATAAGTTATTTATTTATTTGAGACAGAGTCTTACTTTCTTGCCCCAATAGAGTGCGATGGCATCATAACTCATAGCAATCTCAAACTCTTGGGCTCAAGCAGTCCTCTTGCCTCAGCCTCCCACATAGCTGGGACTACAGGTAATGACCCCAATGCCCAGCTATTTTTAGAGAATAGGTCTCACTCTTGCTCAGGCTGCCTGAACTGAGGCAGTCCACTTGCCTCTGCCTCCCAGATTGCTAGGATTATAGGCATGAGCCACCATGCCTGGACTCATACATTTATAAATATAGATAATGAATGAATGAATATTACTCAAAGGTAACCACTATCGCAGTTATGCTTGTCTTTTTTTTTGTGACAGAGTCTTACTGTGTCACCCTCGGTAGAGTGTTGTGGCATCACAGCTCACAGCAACCTCAAACTCTTGTGCCTAAGCAAGTCTCTTACCTCAGCCTCCCAAGTAGCTGGGACTACAGGCACCCACCACAACACCTGGCTATTTTTTGTTGTAGTTGTCATTGTTGTTTAGCTGGCCTGGGCTGGGTTCCAACGCACCAGCCCCGATGTATGTGGCTGGCGCTGTAACCGCTGTGCTATAGGTGCCAAGGCTATGCTTGTCTATTTTATCTATTTTATATAAATGGAATCATAAAATAGGTACTCTACATTGTTATGTGCAGCAGTAGTTTGCTCATTTTTGTTGCTGTATATATCTCCATTGTTTGAAAAAATTATGTATTTATTTATCCATCTACCCTTCTATTGAAGGATATAAGTTGGATCTAGTTGCTATTATTAATAACACCGTTATAAAATTTTTTCACATCTTCTGACAACTATATGTATGAATTTTCTGTTGAGTATGTATCTCAGACTAAAAATGCCAGGTTACAGTTCTGTTTAGTTTTATTTTGTAGTGCTAAACAGTTTTCCAAAGCACTTGTACCAAATTATGCATTAACTAGAAGTGTATGAGAGTTCTAGCTGCTTTATATTATTGCCAACACTTGATATTGTCTGGCTTTTAAATTATAGTAATTTTGGTTTACATAGGTAATACTTCATGAGGTTTAAATCTGCTTACTGTAGACTAATGAAATCAAACACCTTCCTATGTTTACTGGCCATTTGAGCAGCTTCTATTTGAAAGCTTGATTAAGACTTTTATATGTTTTTTCTTAATAGGTTGTCTGCTTCCTATTGACATGTTGATTTCTAGTTAGGAGCACTATCTTGGATGAATATATATGATTTTCTACTCTATGGCTAATCTCCTTGCCCTCATAATGATGCCTTTTGAGGATACATTTTTACTTTTAATGTAGCATAATTTATCATTTTTTAAATTTATGGTTAGCAGTTTCTGATTAAAAAATCTTTGCATTCTTCAAGTCCAGAAATATTTTGCTGGGTTTTTTTCCCTAAAATATTTGTTGTTATGCTTTTCTTATTTAGAGTTACCACCCATCTGGAAAATATTTTTCATGTTTAGTATTAGGTAGAAGGTCATATTTTACTTTATCCACATGAATATTCAAGTTGACTTAGTACCATTTATTGGAAAAATCAGTAATCCCTTTCTTATAATCGATTATCATCTTTGACATTAATATGTTGGCCATATACATGTCGATCTTTTTCTGGACTTCCTGTTCTGTTTCATTGGTCTACTTGTATGTAATTGAAAACATATCACAAATCATATCTTGGGCTCAAGCAATCTTCTTAACTCAGCCTCCTACATAGCTGGGACTACAGGTGACCAGCCCAATGCCCAGCTGTAGGTCAATAATAAGGTTTTGTGCTTTTTTGAGGTTATGGTCACTTGTTTATTTCACATTTTATTCTCATTACATTGATCTGGGAGTGAAAGGAGTCATGCACCATTGTATAGATCATGCTATTCCCTTGTTTTCAGACTGAATAGGGATCCAGGTTCTAATTGTCTCTGAGTTCATTCAGGGTCTGAGTCAGAGTCAGAAGTCAACCACTGTTTCTGGGCTGAGAGATGTCAGAAGAAAGGAAAGAAACGACATGGAACTGCCTAAAGAGGGTTTATGTTCTAGGGCTCTTATCTGGGTACCTGAGGATCCTCCATGTAGAATATGCATGGGGGAGCCAACAGCAGCTTCTCAAAGTGAACATCAATGGCCCAGGTCTGTGGCTGGTAGTCAGGAGTTGGAAGGATGACCACATCATTACAGGGAAGACCTGAAAAGACGTCCTTCCATCTGTATCCCAGAATCCTGCATAGGGCCTCTCCATAAGGACCAAGACAAGGTTGGCTCCTTGACCTCTGGTTGACCTTGTGAGTAGTCCAATATGAATCCTACAAATCTGGAAACATTCTTGCCTGCTCTTCTTTATGCCCCTCTTCTTGAGATGCCAGGCAGTTGCTCTAGAACATGATTCTTTTTCCTCAACTCTTCAAATTCAATAAATTCTCATTCTTGTAGGGAAACCTGGATCTCCTGATCACTCCAAGGTTTAATTAATTGGTCTAATGCAGAGGTGTCCAACTTTTCTTCTTTTTCTGCCACACATTGGAAGATTAAGAATTATCTTGGGCCACGTGTTAAACATACAAACACTAATGAAAGCTGATGGAAAAAAAAGTGTGTGTGCATACTTTTTAAGATATCTGCACCACAGATAAGCAAAACAGTCCTCAGAGCTGTGTGTGGCCTGTAGACCACAGATTGGGACACCCCTGGAATGGTTTTTCTGGTTTCTTGGTTTCTTTTTTCTTCTTTACTTCTTGAGAATTTCTAATAATTTCAGTCTGAAGTCTCACTTTCTCCATTTTTACTCCTGAGTTTTCCCCTGGAATTCTTTTTACTGCAGCCTTAGGGCTTAGTCATGGGTTGGCAGAGAACTAGCAACTACTCTGCCCTAATGGAACCCAGGAGAGTCAGGAGGTGCCCAAGAATGGGAATGTGTTTGCTTTTTCCTGCGTCTGGCAGTCTCTCACTTTATGATAAGTCTTGATATCTGATCATGAAAGTCCTCTAATTTTTTGCTTCTTCAAGGTTGCTTTGGCTGTTCTTGCCCTGTCAACTGCGTCTAAATCTTAGAATCAGCTTGTCAAATTGCTGGTATTTTGAATGATAATGTAATTTAAGGCATCTTTTGATTTATTTGCATTTACTTTTTTCAAAAATTTCTTTTTTTATTTTTTTTTTAATTTTAGAGACAGTGTCTTTATCACCCTCGGTAGAGTGCTGTGACAGCACAGCTCACAGCAACCTCCAACTCCTGGGCTTAAGCGATTCTCTTGCCTCAGCCTCCCAAGTAGCTGGGACTGTAGGCGCCCACCAGAATGCCTGGCTATTTTTTTGTTGCAGTTTGGCCCTGGGCTGGGTTTGAACCCACCACCCTTGGTATATGGGGCCAGCACCCTACCCACTGAGCCACAGGTGCCACCCCCAAAATTTCTTCTTGATAGTGGTTTTTATTAGGGAGTAATGTTTTTTCTTTTTATTAAGTTATATATACATAGATCATGAATACATTTATACCTTTGTGGGATTCAGTGTGTTGATTATTTGTACAAATTGGAGTGCTTACATCATATTAATTAATATAGCTTTCATTTCATTTACTTATAATCACAGTGTTAAGACATTTGTGTCTATACTTGATAGATTTGACTTATACCCTTGCAATTTGCTCCGTAGGTGTGGTCCCACCATTAACCCTCCCTGGGAGTAATGTTTTTTAATGTTAGTTGCTGTTATTTTTAAACTTCATTTTCTGTTATTGCTGGCATATAGAAATACATTTGATTTTTGTATGTTGACCTTCTATACACCAACTTTCCTAAATTCATTTATCAATGTCAATAGTTCATCTATATTACTTTTTGGATTATATTCAAATATAACCATATTGTCTATTAAAATGCAAATTTGTTCTTCTTAATTCTTATACCTTCTGTTATGGACTGAAATGTGACCCCTAAAATTTATATGTTGAAGCTCTAACCCCCAATGTGGCTAGGTTGGGAGAAAGCACTTATGAAGATGTGATAAAACTTAAATGAAGTCCAAGGCCCAAATACAATAGACCTAGTGCCCTTATAGGAAAAGGAGACACCAGAGCTTGCTTGCTGTCCACTGTGTGAGAACACAGAGAGGAGGAGGCTATCTACAAGCCAGGATGAGAGCATTACAAGGAAATGAATTGGCTGGCCCCTTAATCTTGGACCTTCTAGCCTCTAGAACTGTGAGAAATAAACTTCTATTCTTTGTAAATTACCCAGCCTCAGGTATTCTATTATAGTGGATTACAATGGTAATATCCTAAATGGATGATGCTCTGGATTTTGTGTCATTCAAGTGATTTTCTCTTTTGTCTTCTTCACATTTTTTACTTTTTCCAGCCAGCCTTAAAGGTAAGGCTAATGTGGGGATTCTCACCAGAATAAAATAGATATAATAGTTAAACAAAACAGATATGATAGCTTAGTACCAGAATCCCATGTTTGCTGCTGCCTCTGCCAGGCACTTTAGCAGCTTGTTGTACCTCTCCTGCCCCAGGACCTAGTAGCTGATTAATTTTGTCGACCATCTGACCATTTGTGCCCTTCACTCTGCTCTCTCTTTTAGCAAAGTGCTTCTATCAATGATTTGATTCATTGTTGCCCACATATTTGTGCTTTTGGTGTAAAAGATTTAATCTGGTTCCAGAAGCCAACTTACTCCTTTAGTCAAGGCTGTTTATAACCAGCCCTTGTCAGAGAGCTTATTCTATCTCCCAAGGTAATTTGTTCCAGTGTTGCATAGTTCTAATGGTTTATTGTTTTTTCATAAATCTTCTTCCTAATCATTTCTATTTACTTGACTTTGTTTGGCCTTAGAGAATTCATAATGTGCTTTACCTGTATGGCAGCCCTTCAGATATTTGGTTTTGCCCTCCAGTTTAAACTCTTCCTTTGATTATTGTTAGATATTCCACCATCTTAGTTACCTTCTCTTAGCTTCTGAACACCACAGTCAGTGGGGACTGAATAGGGCAGGACAAGGACAGAGGCTTGTGTCACTCTGATTGAAATCCAAAGCAAGTAAGTGACACAGCTATTCAGCCAGTGCTGAGTCTGCATAACAAGATAGGCATTTCTGACTTGGAACTTTAATTTTCTTTCTTTCTTTCTTTTCTTTCTTTTCTTTCTTTTCTTTCTTTCTTTCTTTTTGAGACAGAGCGTCAAGCTGTCACCCTGGGTAGAGAGCTGTGGCATCACAACTCACAGCAACCTCCAACTCCTGGGCTCAAGCCAGTCTCCTGCCTCAGCCTTGCAAGTAGCTGGGACCACAGGCGCCCGCCACAATGCCCAGCTATTTTTTGGTTGCAGCCGTCATTGTTGCTTTGGTGGGCCCAGGCTGGATTCGAACCCGCCACCTTAGGTGTATGTGGCTGGTGCCTTAGCCACTTGAGCCACAGGCTCTGAGCCAGAACTTTAATTTTCTAAAGTTCATTTATGAAAGTTGTTTACAACCGAAACTTTTTTCTCCTGTTGGAGTTTTCTCCTGGTTAACAGCCAACTTAACAACAGATCATTGACCACATCTCCTAGGTGGAGTCAAGAGCAGATTTTCCCTCTCAGCTGCTCTTACATAGAGAACAGACTTACTAGATATACATTAAACAAAAACAAGTTGTTCTTCTGTCTGCCTAAAACCCAGTTTGGAGAAGGAAAGGTTTCTAGCATAGGCAGAGACTCAGGCACTATACATCTTTATAGTCCTTGAGCATTGGGTCTGCCATACCACCTTAGGAGTAGGACAGCATTTTTTTTTAGTGTAACTGCAAGTGTAATGGCAATAGCACAGACTGGAGCCAAGTCCTATTAACACCTGACTGACCAGAAAGAGGATTCAGTGCTCTCCTTTTTGGGTGGATACAGTCATGGCTCTTATCAGTAGTTGCTAGGCATTCATGAATTAGGCTGCACATCTTAAGTAACCCACCAGCCTCTCAAATTACATCAGTAAAAATCAGTCAAATGTATGTGTGCTTATATTCCAAATAGTGGACTAATACATAGATGAACCATTTTGCATATAATCTAAAGGCTACAGGCTACTAGTTTAGGGGGCATAGGTGACCTTCTGGATCCTTGAGTGTGGCATTTTGACTGAATCTAAATATTGCAGAACATATTCTTACAATACAGAGATTTATTCTGTGAAGTTTGGAGTCAGTTAAGAGGACTGCACTTGTGCATCTGGAGGGCCACATATGGGATTGAGGCCTCAGTTTCCCCACTTGTGGAAGAAAAAAGTTCTCCTTTTAACATAGCATTTCCTCAGGGAAGCCAAGAATTCTCAATGGAATTTTCCAGTGGGTCACCAAGCTGTTCTCCTGCTTCTTGAAAACCTCTAAAATAGGGAGTAGTTACCATTTAGCTCTGGCCCACCATTACAACATCATGTAGCTGAACTATTGACCCAACAGTTCTGAACATCATTTGTCACAGTGTTCCTATGGGAAATTAGTTTTGGTCTTTTAACTTTAAAGTCCAACCTCCACCAGTACACAGTCATGAGGTAGATGACAGTTTATAGCAAGATACTTAAAATGCTGTGATATAAATATATTTTTTGAAATTAAGAGCCATAATCAATTTCAAGGAAGAAGGATCACATTATTGTTTTTTGTTTTTTATATCTCTTGATTTTCCTATAATTAATGTATTCCTTTTGTAGAAAAAGTTACTTACAATTTCAAAAGAAGTAGAATCAAATTAACAAAGTTTACATGCTTTTCTTTAAAAGGCAGTAAAATATGACGTAGGAAGCTCTTTTAGGAAGAAAATTGGAAGTCAAAGGGAAATGTACCAATTAGATCTCAATATTGTGGGTTTGCAATTCAGCCATCATCATCTCTTCAACCAAGAACAAGTGTTATGTGCTAGGCTGCTCCATCTTTATGAATGTTTTCAGGACAGGCAGCAACAGAATTTACCTCAGCTACTTTATGAGAAGGTGAGAATAGCTTTCATTATATTTATAGTGCTGAACATTCTTAAATTTAAAAAAAATTTAATTTTAACTTGAAAATTTTAACTCACAATAACCTGCCATTGAATAGAACTCAATATTTAATGTTGAAAGAGAAAAGATTCTTCATAAAGAGCAACTTATCAGAATATTTTCCCTTAGCACTCTAAATATTTAACTAATTAGAGCAATGGTTTGACGAAACTACAGGAGTTGACTGTCTGGGGCTGTAACCTCAAACATATCCTGTAGGATATATACCACATAGAAATGGTTTACTAATCAGTGGTATTTTTGGTCCCATAGCTCAAGAAGAGTATTTGAAATGATTACTTTTTTAAAGAGTCATGTGCCTATTTTAAGTCTTATAATAAAGTATTTTGTTAAAAATGTTAGAAATCTTGAATCTTATGTCAGTGGTTTTGGTCTGAGGATGATTAATCCAGATAGTCATCTAATAACATTATGAATGGTACATAATGTCTGAAGAGAAATCAAAGGAATACTCACTGATTATTTTTACAGACTTGTACCTCTCATTTGAATTCTTTGCTGGGTTTCTGATACATAGTTAACTAGTGTTGTCTTGGGAACAGTATCCTGATAGGTCTTGACTATGAATACATTAGAAATTAAATATGTAGCAATTAATACCTAATATTCAATTAAATATTCAATCCTTATGGAGTCACCAAGACATTTTAATAAGCTGGACATGAACTGTACCTTAATAAATACCAGCTTTTAAAAATACAAGTGCAAAATCTGCAGAACTTAATCAGTTTGATTAAATTTTCATGTAATAGTTGTGTGGGAGAACTTAATAGATAAACATCATATGTAAATAACATTAGAATATTTCTTAAAACATATAATGAGTATTTTAACTTTTAGTATGGTAGGGCTATTTTTTAATGAATGGAGGAATCAACTCTGACATTAAGATGCAGGTCATTAAAAATGATTGGATTTATAGATTTCTACTTTATGGAACTTTTCCCAAGAATATCATGTAATCTTTAAAGTCTGATTTAGCAATATAAATTTTATTTTATTAGATTAATATTAGTATATAGACTATAGGTTTATTTTTCATGTAGCACTCCTAACTCTCTGCATAAAATAAAAGCCTTTGGGGATCATTATTTGTAACATGTTTGAGTTTTACCGATTCTTAGAAGCCAAAGGTAATTTCTTAGTTGATTTTCACTTTTCTTCAGTTTATTCTCAAATTGTGAAAAAGGAAATGTGGCAGGCTGTGTGCACGTCTTTCTCTTCTGAAGGTGGAGAAGAGCAGTGGGAGGAGGAGAAAAGGCCAGGTATAGCAGAGCACGTCTGTGGCCACCTACTAAAGACTGATTTGTTTAATATGGATAATATATGTATCTGTTCAGTCCCTTGGTATGAAATGTATTCCTCTGCTTGTTAAAATCAGTTAAGAATAGTGGAATGCTCACTGGCATCCAAAGAGTTCTTAAACTGGAATATGCTTCTTTATATGAGTATGAACCCCACTTAAAGAACAAACAGGAATGTTACAGATAATATGAGAGAGTTGAAATGATGAACGGCTGTGCAGATTTTTACCGTTTTTCCTTTCAGCTTTTAGTTTTCGAATTATACAAGTAATACAGGAATAGGTTCTCATTGGAGAGGATTCACTATAGAAATGGCAAAACATGAAAGGACTACTTCTTTCTTCACCTCATGGTCTGCAGTACAACTTTAAAGTTTTGTTTTCCCTCTATTTCTTTATATGTATATGCCAGGATTATTTTTAACATAAATTGGATTTTACCCTATGTATTATTTGACAACTTGGTGTTTTAACATTAATACCATATTTTGGAACTTCTTCATGTCACTATATATAGGACCATAAATATAATTTTATTTTAATATATTTAATAACTCCCCATTCATGACACATAGGTTATTTTCATTTTTTCTGATTACAAATAATGAAATAATTATCATCCTGTACATATATATTTGAGCACACCCATGAATACTTCTATAGGCTAAATCCCTAGAGGTAAAGTTGCTTGGTCAAGGGTTAAGGGTACATGCAGTTTAAATTTTATTAGAAAGTTAGAAATAACCTTTCCAAAAAACATTGTTTCAAGAATCCTTACCAATATTTGATATTTTCCCTTTTTTTTCTCAGAGACAGAGTCTCACTTTGTCGCCCTTGGTAGAGTGCTGTTGCGTCACAGCTCACAGCAACCTCCAGCTCTTGGGCTTAGGAGATTCTCTTGCCTCAGCCTCCCAAGTAGCTGGGATTATAGGCACCTGCCACAATACCTGGCTGTGTTTTTGTTGTAGTTTGGCTGGGGCCGGTTTTGAACCTGCCACCTTCAGTATATGGGGCCGGCACCCTACTCACTGAGCCACAGGTGCTGCCCCTCTTGCTTTGTTTGTGTTTAATCCATGAGCATTTTAAAATATGCAAATTCTGGATATAAGTCCATAAAAGATATGTGTCTTTTAAGTGCATTATATATTTTGTCATCTTAAGTTACTTGCTTTTTAACTTAATTTATTCTATCTTTTGGCAAGCATTTTTTAATTTGTAGAAGATCAAATATGGCAGCCATTTCTCTTTTGGTTTTATCGTTTGCTTCCTAAGTTCCCTAAGACCTTTTGTATTTCATAGGTATCAGTTATCATACTTTTGGTTGTAATTCACAGAAAACTCCACCTCAAGTACTTTAAACAATAAGGAAAAAGTATTACTTCATACTGCCAAAATTAGGGGAACTCTAGCAATAGTTAATTTGGTGGCTCAACAATATTAGCAATCTAGCTTTTTCTCTCCTCTTCATCTTCAGCAAATAGACTTGGTTAGTTACGTCCACTCATGGAGCTTATATGCTTATGACATATTAGTCCAGTCTTGCCCTGTTTTCATTACCATATTTAGGTGGAAGATAAAATAGATACCTGTGCTAATCTGCCATTTTGATCTAATAGCACTTCTTTATATCAGTTGATGAAGTGCTTATCTAGTATGTTCAAGTTATGACATTTATTGCCTAGAGAGTGAAGCTTTTCTCAGTTCTTCCCTAAGTTGCTTATATGAAATACATTTTATTATACATTTGTTCTGCTGCTGTACACGCCTAGACCTACAGGTGAATTAGAGTAATGGTAACAGGTGGATAAAATATACCACAAAACTCTTTTCTTTGTTGTAGCTGAAAGCATTGACAGATGCTACCAAATTAGCAAATGAAAATTCAAATGCATACCAGCTGACCAGAAAATCTCTACAAGAGTATAATTGGCAGATAAGGTAGGTTTTGAGCCGTTAATGTATTTGTCAAGTACTTATTTAGTAATTTCTTTAGGCAAATTACTGCTCTTGCTAAGGAAGATAAAGAAAAGTACAACATCCATACTTTTTAGGAGTCTGTTGAAATGATTCCAATCTTTCCTTAAGATCCATGTTTGTGTAAAAATATTTTGCAGAAGTGACATGCAAAAGTAGTTGTAGTTTTTGTACCTATTGATTTAAAAAATGTTAATGAAAAACTGAGTTCACTAATATTTTTAAATTGACTCAGATTATTAATCTCAAGTGTTTATATGTAGTTGAGAATTACTACACATTTGCATATGAGCAAGATATATTACTAATTCAGTTTAAAGCCATACTGTATGAACATATGGATTTACAGACCCCTGTTAAAAAAAAAAAAAAAAACATGGTCTACACATTGGGAACCAATGGCTATTATAGACTAGTTGGGAAGAAGTGGTGAAAGTAAGAAATAACTGGAAAAATAATTCCAAGACAAAATATATTCGTGTGTCAAGGAATCTCCAAAAGTTGGAAAGCTGACTGGAAGATACTTAATAGGTGGAAGATGAGCTATACACAAAAATATAACAGTTGCCTGTATATAAGAATGATATGCTGGGTACAGAAATTCCCCGACTCTGCCCATTGATCTGACATGATGCTACAGATTCTTAGCCATTAGAGCCAAAAATTGATTTAAATCATTGGCTTCCTAGAATAACCTAGGAAGGTTATTTAAATGCCGACAGTGTTACTTGAGAAGGTTGATATATGCCTTACACAAGGTCTGACACATGGTGTGTACTTAATAAATATTAACTGAATGAATGAATAGAGGTCATCTGCATTTATATAGCAATAATTAGTATTATTTGTAATGTTTGCTAAAATTGAAGACAAAGAACAGACATTAGCATAAAGAACACAGAACAAGTAAACTTTGATTCAAGAAAAAAAGTAAAAAGTAGGCTTTACATGGGGGCCCAATATTGGTGGATGAGGGTCCGCTACTACGTGTGTGTGTGAGGTGGGCAGGGTAGGGGGAATCACTGAAGAGTAGTCACTTTTATTAAAACAGAAAAGAAGCAATGTAATAGATTTCCATTCATGAAAGTTTTGGGGGTGGTATCGAAATGCTGCAAAGGGCAGTGTCTGGATATTTGAAAACAATGTTTCTATTAGAAAAGATGTGTGCACAAAATATAATCAATGATGATAATTATGTACTTAACCTTTAATGTGTATCTACTACATGCTTACCTACAGTCACCTAGTTCCCAGGAATAGAATCTGTAAGTCATATGTGACCCTCTCTTGCCCCTCCTCTCATCTCTCACACTACTCATAAATAGGTTCTTATATTTTTTAATTTTTAAAAACTCTTTCTATTTTGTCTTCATCTCTATTCCGACTGATTCTGCCTGTTTCACGTGCCTCACTTATAGCTTGACTACTCAAATAGTCTCTAAAATGCCTCTCTTTAAACCATGCTCCATACTGAAGCCAGAGTGATTTTTATAAGTAAATGAAACATTTTAATGGCTCCCTATTACTGTATCTTTAGCATGATCTATAAAACCCTATGTCATCTGACTCGTGCTTACCTCTCCAGCCTCATGTTAGGGGCTGTCTGCCTTGGAACTTTATAGTTGAGTACCCTAAGTGGGCTATGCTAATACTTTATATTTTTCTTTTAATTCCTCTTGCTTCTCAAATGTCCTTTCATCCTTTTCTGCTTAATACTTAGTCAATATACAGTTTTTTTCAATTTCATGTCACTCTCTTGGGGATGATTTAATTTGCTTATTAGATTACATTAAATTCTCTTTCTTTAGATACTCATATAGCACATTATATTTCTTCTTTTGTGATGCTCATCACATTTGTAATTACTTGTTCTCTCTTCTCTGCTGGGATATTAGTTACCAATACCTAAGACAATTCCTGGTACAAAATATATATCACATATTTATTGATTTGAGTATCATATATTTTATGAAGTCTTTCCCTGCTGTTGCCTACCATTCTCTTATTTACACCTGAACATTAGCTTGTGTGGACTTTTATCATAACACCTGTCACATTTTCTTGCAATGATTAATTTGTCTATAAGCTTCTTGAACTCAACAAGTCTTTTTATCTCTTTATTTCCTCTTGATAGTACCATGCCTGGCATATAGTAAGCACTGAATAAATCTTTACTGGATGAGTGAATGAAGGGAAATAGCCTTTTTTCTAGCAGAATGGTAGCTTAGATACCCCCTGCAGATACCAAAATTCATGGATGCTCAAATTCTTTATATGAAATGGCTTAGTATTTGCATATAACCAATACATATCCTCCTGCATGCCTTAAATCATCTCTAGATTATTTATAACCTAATACAGTATACATGCTATGTAAATAGTTGCTATATTGTTTTTTTTTTGCATAATTTTTTATTGTATTTTTTATTTTTGAATATTTTCAGTCTGCAGTTGGTTGAATCTGCAAACACAGAGCTAGTAGATATGGAGGGCCAACTATACTTTGCAACTCCAGAGTCTATTGAAGGCTTGCAACATGTAGGAGAAGACTTGGATGGCATTTTGAGGTTAATATGGGGCAATTTCAGTCCTCAGCATAATAGCATCTACCTATCCTCCACCTCTCAGTCCTGTGGCAGGCAGCTGTGTATGTGTTCTAGAGCAACCTACACACAGTTTGCAGGAGACAAGATGACAAAAAGGACTTATTCCTCCAAATATTTGGGATCTGTGTACTAATCACTACTGATCATAAGAGATGCAAAGAGACAGGGGTGTCATTGTTTTTATACCATACTCCTTAGTAACAAGTTTCCTCCTACCTAGCTATAGTGACTTCCATGGAATTTAAAAGGCTGGTCTCCCCTCCCCATTTCATTTTTCTCTTTTTCCCCTTTGTGGAGCCAGATATTAAAGACAGGACATTCACAAGCAACTGCATAAATAGGGAAAATTATAAAGTAACCACATATACCTAGGAAAAGGCACAGGCTCCAAAAAGACCTATAAAAAACATTATACTTAGTCTCATCACAGAGGCTTCTTACAATGACTTAAAAATACAAGTGGAACAATAATTAAAAGCAGCAAACCCTGGGAAAGGAGGATAATCTGATTTTCTGAGTTACTATATTGTTAGGGTCAAATGTTCAATTTTCAACCAAAAAAAAGAAGGCAAACAAAGAAACAGGAAAGTATAGCCAATTCAAAAAAAAAAAAAAAAAGAATAAATTAACAGAAACTGGCACCAAAAAAGGGCATGATGACAAATTTACTAGATGGACTTTAAGGCAACTATTTTAAAGATGCTTAAATAATGAAAGGAAGGTGTGGAATAAGTCAAGAAAACTAGATATGAACAAAATGGAAATATCAGTATAGAGATAGACAATCCAAAAAGAAACCAAAGAAAAATTATGGAGCTGTGAAGTATAGTAACTGAAATGAAAAAGTTACTGCAGGTATTCAAATGCAGATTTCAGCAAATAAAAGGAAGAATCAATGAACTCAAATGCAGGAAAATAGAAATTATCAAATATCAGTAACAGAAAGAAAAAACATTAAATAAATTAGATAAAGACCTGTGGATCACCATCAAGCAGACTGGCATACTCTTTGGAGGAGACCCAGAAGAAAAAGATAAGGAGAAAGGTACTGAGAGAGTATTTGAAGAAATAATAGTGGGAAAATTCATGAACATGAACATCTAAGAACTTCAAACAAACTCCAAGTAAGGTAAACTGAAAGAGACTCACACCAAGACACATTATAACAAATTTTTCAAAAGACAAAGGCAAAGAGAATCTTGAAAGCAGCAAGAGAGAAATAAATTACCACATACAAGAGATCTTCAATAAGATTGTTATATTTCTCATAAGAAAATTTGGAGGCCAGAAACCAGTGGATTGATATATTCAAAGTGCTAAAAGAAAAAAAAACCCTATCCACCAAGGATCCTATATTTGGCAAAACTGTTCTTCAAAATTTAGGGAGAAATTAAGACATTCCCACATAAACAGAAGCTGAAGGATTTTGTACCACTACCTGCCCTAAAAGAAGTACTCAAAGTAGTCATACATGATGAAATGAGAGGATAAGTGGAAGGTAACTCAGAGTTATGTGAAGAAATAAAGATCTCAGTAAAGTAAATATGTGTGCAATTATAAATGTTGGTATTAGTGTAACAACAGTCTGTGATGACTTTTGTTTTCTATATGATTTAGGGAACTACTGCACTTAATTATTGGTTTATGTTTTGAGGCACACAGTGTATAAAGAGATAATTTTGTGATATCAACAACTGTAAAGGCCTGGGTCAGAGCTAAAAAGAGCAGTTTTTCAAATATTTTTGAAGTTTAAGCTGGTATAAATTCAAATTAAAGTGTTACAACTTTAGGATGTTAAATGTAATCTTCATGGTAACCACAAAGAAAGTACCTAGTAATTGGTAGGACCACACCTACAGTGTATCTTACAAGGGTACATGTGAAATTTACTAAGTGTAGAATATAAATGTCTTAGCACAATAACTAAGAAAATGCTGTGAAGGCTATGTTGACCAGTTTGATGAAAACATTTCAAATTGTATGTAAAACCAGCACATTGTACCCCATGATTGCATTAATGTACGCAGCTATGATTTAATAAAAAAAAGAAGAAGAAAGGAAAAAGACAAAAATTTAAACATTTCACCTAAATCAACTAAACACCAAAGAAAATAGTAATGCAAGAAATGAGACACAAAAAATATATAAAGCATAAAAATAACAAATAATGAAATGACAGAAGTCCTCCCTCTTTATCAGTTAATCACTTTAACTTGCCAATCAAAACAAATTGAACAGATAAAAAGACACAATCCAGCTATATGGTATCTACACAAGACTCATTTTAGATCCAAAGACACAAATAGATTGAAAGTGAAAGGATGAGAAAAAGACAGTCCATGCAAGTAGCAACCAAAA